TAGTAATCGACCGTACAAGTACATTTTATATGTCCTCCCCTACCACCCCGTTCTTGATCTTCTTCCTTCAGTTTTAACCAACCTGTCTCAGAAAATGAGATATTATGAAAATCTTAGACAGTATAAACAAGCTTTCATTTATTCACATTGTTTGCGGTAGATTTATTGCATTCGTGATTATCTCAAATTTGGGAAGTTTGGTTAATATAAAGGTCGTAGACATAGTCTAGGCCTTATCTTGAGAGTTTAAAATGTTTTATTGTCCGCTGAATATCATATAAATAGATATACATATATCAACTGTAATTCAAGGTAATTTCACTTCAAGATCGATATGTATAACAAAACACGAATCCTTTCTTTTTTACCAAACTCTCCTTTATTTACTCGGTTTTGTAGCATCAGAAACTCCTCTTCAGTGTCAAAAAATGTCATAAATAGCCTTAACTTCCAAAGAAACTTTAAAGTTATTCATTACAAGTTTTATTACCGAATAGTTTGGTAAAAAGGTAAGGGTTCGAGTTTTGTTATATGTGTGTGTGTGTGTGTGTGTATTGCTGGGATTAGTTCTGCATGATAAATTTGGAATATGCAAGTTATTCACTACTGGTGAAACTAGTGTGGTTACAATTATGTGTGTGTATATTGCTGTGGTTAGCTCTGTATGATAAATTTGGAATATACAAGTTATTCACTACTGGTGAAACTAGTGTGGTTACAATTATGTGTGTGTATATTGCTGTGGTTAGCTCTGTATGATCAATTTGGAATATGCAAGTTATTCACTACTGGTGAAACTAGTGTGGTTACAATTATGTGTGTGTGTATGTATTGCCGTGGTTAGCTCTGCCTGATAAAAACGTACATCACGTATAATAGTTAACCGAACCGCCTAAACGTCACTTTAGTGTAGCCTATATAATTTGTAAAGTTTAATATACTCTAATTTCTTATAGTGATGGCACATGACGAGACACACATTCGGCATGTGATGCTGTTTGAATACATGAGGGGAAACAACGCCTCTGTAGCCACAAAGAATATCAAAGAAGTTTGTGGAAATGTTTAGAACGTTCGTACGTGTCAACGATGGTTCAGCAAATTTCGTTCAGGTGACTTTAGCCTTAAAACTGTGATGGCAGGGGCCGACATGTTGGAATTTATATTGATGCTCTGAAGACGCTTGTTGAGTCTAACCCATGGCAACACATTCGTGAAATGGCTTTGAAATTGCATGTTTCTCATGAAACAGTATGTAAACATTTAAGGAATATGGGAAAACTCTATAAAGAAGGTATTTGAGTGCTTCACGAACTCTCCGATGATCATCGTTTCCAACGTGTGAACGTTGCTTCGTCTCTTCTGGTGCATAATGCGCGTGAAACATTTTTGGACCCAATTGTCACCGGTGATGAAAAATAGATTCTCTATGCGAATATTAAATGGCAAAAACAATAGATCAGTCCTAGACAAAAATCACTTCCGACCCCAAAATCTGGACTCCATCCGCAGAAAGTTATGCTTTGCATTTGTGAGACATCAAAGGAGTAATTCATTTCGAACTCATCAATCCACAGCGAACTGTCAATGCAGAGATCTATAGTCAGC